CGTTCTTCGTTCTCCGTTCACCATTCCCCGTTCCCCGTTCCTCGTTCCCTGTTACTACTTTTAGCGACATCCTTAAATGAAACAACATTAGACCTCTGCAAGGGATATGATTACCTTTTGAAATGAAAACCGACAAACATCAAAGTTTTTCCTTGCTTTATTCATTTATTTTTTTTAAGGTAACTTTGTTTTCCGTTCCTTTCTTTTCCGGGGATTTTACTTTTGTGATGCGTGTGGAATATGTGTTTATTATTCCCAAGGCTTTCCATAATCAAAATTTCTCTTGCTTGTCAATGTTTTGAACGATGCCTGTCAGGTTCAATAAAAGAAAATTTTTTTTGCCCCGATCCAACAAACTACCCATGGGTCTTGAGCTTGTCTTTTAGAAAATGCTTTTTTAATTTGTTATTAGACCACCGAATTTTAAGAAATTCTTCGTTGTGAAATTTTTAATGAGATTTTAGCATTTTTAATCACCTATAGTGTATAGACTGAGTTCTGAATTCAATAACCGTTGGCACGGCAGGTCATTTTCCCACACAAGTATTCGTTATAATTAGCGACGCTGGCGACTTGTTTGCCTAAGCCTTGTGGATCACCTTGAGCACGTATTAAATGAATCCATTAGAAGACAAGGCGGCAAGTCTTTCGCTAGTTGATCTAGTTCAGCAATTTTAACATCTTGCAAAGAGCTTTCGAAGACAGAGTTGACCAGTATAAAAAAAAAAAAAACATGGCTAACATCACGAACGCCTCGTCATCATCGTTCTCTTCGGGTCTCCGTCCCTTGGCGAAGGACTTTTGCGTGTTGATTTTGCCTGATCCGGAATTCGACAAAGCCGCCGAACGCTTGACTACCAATCTTGTAACAAGTGTTATAAATGTAGTGTTGTCACCGTTCGGCGTAATAACAAACTTTTTCATCATCCTGGTTATCAGCAGAAAGATATCTCTTTGGACTCCCTTGAACGTGTTACTGGGATGTTTGGCTGCATCCGACTTTCTTGTTGGTTTGCTTGTTCAACCAAGTTACGTTGCCTTCAGATTAATGGAGAACCAGCACAAGTTTGTCCCATGCGCTTTACGGTTGTTCTACTCTACCGGATTTTTCATATGTTATGGCGTCTCTCTTGTCACTTTATGCGCCATTAGCTGGGAGCGATTCCTTGCGCTGCTACTTCCGCTAAAATACTCGCAATTGATACGTTTGTCAAGAGTCTCAAAGCTTATAATTCTCATTTGGTTGGTGAACATCTTTCTGACACTTCTGCAGTGGGCCCATTGCGGAGCAGCCAGAGGTATTCATCTTGGCTCGTGGTTGGTTTTATTACTTGCTGCCGTTGCGAGCCAGTTGAGAATCCTCCCGATCATTCGGTACCATCAGAAGCAAATCAAGAAAATTCAATCATCTCAGCCACAAACTCATGCTCCGAATCACACTCACATGCAGGTAAAGTTTGCAGCTAACATTGCATGTATCGTTACAGTTTATTTAGCATTCAATCTTCCAGTCCTTCTCATCACTGCCATCCATCAAGTTGTTCACATTGAAATAAATACCTACGATTTGTACAGTTGGGCCGAGACAGCTGCGTTTTTTAACTCGTCTGTTAACCCAGTCATATGCCTTTGGAGAGTGAAGCTAATTCGCAGAGAAATCAGAGAACTTTGGACCTGTCGAAGGGAGAGAAAAATTGCCAGATATTCGTCCAATACCACATCACCAGACAAAGAAGTTTCTCTGGTACAATTTAGACGTTGCCAAGAACCACCAATAACCTTCATCGTCACGAATAACGATTTGTCCGATAGTGGAGACATTAAGATCATTACCTAATGATCTCAAAGTTTTTTATAGATACTGCATCTCAAATGAAAGGCATGACACAGACTTCAGCGTCAATTTTTGTGTCCGACTTCATCCAGAAACTTACCCAAACATGCTAATCATAAATTTGTTTGTTATTTCTTACAAATTTCCGAAAAAAACTAATGCTTCCACTAAAAAGGAACTGAATGTAGTACACAACTTTGGAAAAGGATCGTAATATTTGAATTTGATAAATTAAGACTAGGTTTACACTAGAGGAAATTGTTCCGGATTCCTGATGAATCCGAAACGTTTTAGTACCGGATTCATTCTGCCGTTTACACGAAAGTGGACGAATCCGAAATAAAAACTTCCCGGTTTGGTCGTGTCTCCGGAGATTTTGAATCCGGAATTTAAAGTGGGAACTTTGAATCCGATAACTTTTGAATCCGGAAAGTTTTGTCGTGTAACCGCTTTTTTTCTCGAATCCGGATATTATTTCCACCTGCAATCTTTTGAGTTTGCGGTGAAACCAAAATGGATCTGGTGCTAACATTGCTGGCGGTCTCCGGTTGCCTAATCTTGTTGCAGGTTCAGGCGATAAATTTTATCATGTGTACCGCAGTATTTCTGAAGAAACGCAAATTATTATTGCAAGGAAGTTTAACGTCAGCCACACTTAATCGCCGACGACGTAGACTGCTTGGCATCTGTCCAACTCAAATTTGCCTCAGTGGCATCTGGATCTACTCTAGCCTTTTTTTGGGGGAGGCATTTTCACTGTGTCGATCGAACGACGAAACAACACTGGGCTTGGTAACCATTCCATTTCGAATGTTCCCGGAGTTGTCGTTGTGTGTAAACGGTCAGGAATCCGAATATCCTTTCAGTGTAAACGCCTACGAATCCGAATACTCCAAAATTGNATTAGATAAATATCTGCATCGTCCTTATCATATCCTCTGAAAATATTTTCACCACTTTCCGAGGTATCTCGGTGCCGAAAATGTTTCTATCGTTTGATTATTGCTTCGGTGCCGAGACAGGCGAAAAGGAAAAATGGTGTTTACGAAAACTCGAGCATTAGAGGAGGCTCGAGAAACGGCCAGAAAAATTGAATGTTAGGCGTAAAAACTGATACTGAATTTTAACCGTTAGGTGTAGAATTTGACAAATGTTAACTGTTTGACATAAAGTATAGTTTACCGTAAAATTTTTTTCAGTCTAAGATTTGCCATTTTAAAAGTGTCAACAAATTAAACTGTTATGTCTTGTCTTGTGGCTTGTGCGTTTACGACTGTTAGACTTTTTAGCCCGGTACCGGAAAACAAAGAAACTAGGCCCAGGTGCCGCAGTTATATTCTGCAAACTGGAAGTTTCGTGCGCGATATGATTGACAGATAGCAGAGTGTTTTCAGGGTATTCAGTTTCTTCCATCAGTGTGCTTGTAATGGCGGTTTTGAAAGGAAAAGTAGTTAAATCATATTTAGTTGAGGAGGAGACACCAATCGAAAAGTGTAAGGCGTGGATCATAAAAATCAGTCATTATTTAAAAGAAGTGTTATTGATTTTAATTGGAAGTTTGGTATGGGGTCATTTGACCTAAAACTATACCGCCTAGGGAAAGTCAGCGGAAAAACAGAAAAGTACGCGTTTCAACGCAACAGTAACTCGATTTAGAATTACCCTTCATGCGCAGGTCTTGCTCACTCGAAGAGCAGATAAATCCTCTCCGGTGGATAAGTATATCCAGTGAATAATGTGTAGATATTCCCCGAGTAGATTTGATTTCTTAAAGCTGCGTGGATACCGTTCAACGTCAATTCTTGATTTTCATGTGACGTCATCATAATTAAAAGTAATGAATTATCAATCCGCATGAGAATTTAGTTTAGTTAGCTAATAGAACAGTTGAAGACTAATCTTTTTACAAATTTTCAATTTGATCGGGTCTTTCGTCTCGTGATAAAGCAAGGTTGAATTTCTATGCTTTTCCTTTTTTTCGAGATAAAAAACTAGCGGTGAAAAAGCACGACGTTTTGACCTTTCAGAGATCATTTTCAAGTGAGTAAAAGTTTTCTAAATTAGCATAAAAATATAGAAAAAGTTGAAATGGGTAAAAATGTGGCGAACGGTAAAATGTGATAAAATATGTAAGAAAGCGGTCAAGATATACTCTAAACAAATAATTTGGCGCGAATTGAATCGCTGTTTGTTTAGTGTTGGTTTGAGTTCTTTGATTAAAAAAAAAACATTAAAAAAATAAGACAGTCAAATTTATTCTGACTCTTTCTTAAGACTCTAAAACTTTGTGCGATGTCGTGTGGCTCCTTATCAAGCTGCTCTCTGAGGTGACGCAGTTTCCGATTGCCGATCCTTTGTGTTCCTCTCAATTAGTTGGTGAACGTGTTGGAACGTGTAGCGGACATAGCCTGCATCGGACAGGCCACCCTGAAATGAATACACCACGAATTTTTGACTCACAAGAAGCGGCATGTCTTCCCTGATCTTAATTTCATCCTTTATCTTTCTACTTGTGTAAACTGAGCTAATGTCTGCATTGATCTTCTGACTGAGGTCAGCAAGCTGTTCACGTGCTACGCTCGCAGATTTCTGATCTTTGAAGGGCAACGTGATTCTGATTGGGGCTTCTCTTTTATCTTTGATTTTTTACTTCATTTATGCCATGGTTTTGATGATGGTGTGACAGTGAAAACCGGCAATTTGTCGACTGAGTTCGCTTAGAATGTTGATATGGTACAAAGTTCAAATTAGCAGAGAAATAGTGACTTGGATTTCTTTTGATACAAATTTGGCAAACAATATTGATATTATCATTATCAGTTGGTTATTTGGCTGCTTTTTTCATTCAAAATTTAAGTATATAGATCTATACATACAATGATATTGTTCCTCAGTGAAGTAAAGGGATGAAGTTTCTAAAGAAACTGTACTGCTTCGGTGGGAGTGACAAGGTAATTTTGGTTTTATAAACTCAGTTGACCATGTAAATCGGCCACCATAAAGANATAGTCCCGAATGATACCGCACTTGTGTCCCTTTGAACTTCAGTCGTATAATAAATCTCTTATTAACCAAGCCTGCTCGAGACCGTACTGGAAGAATATCGGCCCTCGGTCTTTTTTGTACGGACCTCGCTGCGCTTGTTCCGTACTATCAAGACCCCGGGCCGATATTCTCCTAGTACGGCCCTCGCGCTTGGTTAATAAGATATATTTATCAACTCAGTTGAAAAAACCCAAATTACCTCGTTCCTGAAAAAGTTTGCTAAAACCATTACAATTCTTAAAGCAACGCAATTACTAAAATATCTGTATAACGTTGAAATATGGAGCGTTTTGGGATCCTAACTCACCCGGTTCACCAAAAACCCAGAGATGAAATTCGAGCAATATTTATTCTTTAATACAATTCCAGAAACAAACACACCAGTCAGTCTGAGTAAACAAATTAATCTAAACAAGTGGAATTGCTTGTTTTAAAACAATGTCTTTTGTACATAAATGGTTAACACTTTCCAATATTTTACCTTTCTAGAAGTTCACTTTTGGAACCCTTTTGGAGTATGAATAATGAAGATCAATTCACGATGTCGCTATGAAAATTTATTGGAGTGAATTTTTCCAACTCACATTTCAGCTGTTGAAGTCGGAGCGACTTCATATTTAGATGACAACCAAATTCATACTTTCTTGAATTCTTTACACCGTTATGGGCAGCATCTTCATTTCCTCCCTTGCTCGAAGAATTACATGCTATCCATGTTGCCACGATTTTAAAAATTGCTTTCCGTATATTTCGACTTCGCCAGCAACAAATAAAAGGATTTAGAGACGAATTCAAAAGAGCCACAGTCTCTGCCCAGCTGTAATAATTCAGGGTACTCAAATTTCTTCTGAGTATCTGGTGATAAGTCGTCACTACAAGAACTGGTAGGTTGAGGAGCAAATAGAATCCTACGATATAAGCTATGTTGCTAGCAAGTTTGAGTTGGCGTCGGTAACTATTCGCGTTCAAGTTAAACTGGTGTTCTTGTCGTCGGATTTGATCGTGATGCTTACGAACGATCCCGACAATTCTAAACTGCAGCAGACCCGAAGTTAACAAGCATGCAAACCAGATTGTTAAATGAATTGTTCTCACGGTATCATTGATGCCAGCAAATTGGAGGCAAGTCAGTGAAGTGTTTAAGATCCATATTACAGCGGCTACCAGTAGCAGGCGACGTTTGGTGACGATAGCTTTGTAGCGAAGATGAATTGTCAGGGCGATGTAGCGTTCGCAGCTGATTGCGTTGAGCGTTAAGAAAGACACTCCGTAACAGATAAAAAATGACGTCGAATAGATTATTCTCACTACCCACGGCACGAAATGGTCTCTGTTTTCACTCAGGCGGAAGGAGACGTAGCTGGGCTGGACAATAACGCCAATCAGCATATCACAGGCGGCCAAGCAGGCCAGGAGCAGGTTGGAAGGATCTCGAAGCCATACAACACGGAAAATTACATAGAGAACAACGAAATTTGCGATGACGGCAACGGGCGAAAATATGCCGCTAATGAGACTCGTTGCAAAGTTGGAAGAATAGCGGTATTGAACATTGTGGAACTCTGGATTCACAAGAAAGAAACAGTTATCCGATCGATTTAATTCCATTTGTGGATCGTCCTTGTCAATATACGAGCTTCGAAGCTAGAACCTTGCACAAAGTAATTACCAAGCATATTGACTGTCCAATATACTGTTCTTCAATTAAGAAGCTATAGCATATATTGTCCAGAATGTCTGACGTAAGGAGTTTAAAGCCGGGCTATTAACTTTTTGACAGCGATCTTCTTTTCAAAATGTTTTTCTGCTATGGTAAACTTACATTAGCATATTTGAAAGAGTTTTGTTTCTTTTAATGAACAGCTGAAATAAATGGCACCAAAATAAAGCAAATAAAAAGAGCGTTTAAAACCATGGTATGAATTTAGGTGCGAAAATTGATATGCAATCAACAAGCAAACCATTTTTTGTTCGTTCACTTGAAGAAAATTCGTCGGTAATATTTCGAATTAAATAGGGGATAAAATATTTTTTCTTTTCTTTTTATACTCGACGTCATTTCGTCTCGTACTGGAGTTTATGAAGTGTATTTACCTCAAGAAGTTATTGGCTCGAACGCACAATTTCAAAGGTGCAAATTAAATACAGCCTTATGAAACGTTTCTCTTTCCAAACTTGTCAGAATTCTGTCCAATGACTTGGGCTTTGACATGTGTCATTAGGATGATCAGTGGAACGAAAAGCGTCAAACAGTGGACTCTCGCCTTAATTTAAGTGTCACTTTTTATTTATTTCGATTTCGTGTTTTATTTACTAAGCATTCTTTTAATTTGCATTCGTTTCTTTCCGCGCAAAATACCGAGTAAACCGATCCATATACAATGCCATTTTCCATCCTTGATTTATTGTTTTAATGCTTTGGTTGGTTAAATCCAACTTAAAGAGGTGTACTACTACAAACGGAGTTGAAATTCCTGTGGAACTACATATTTTAATATAAAGATCGTTACTACAAGTAGTGGCAGGTTAAGGAACTCAAAAACGTGTAACGCTACGATGTAAGCTACGTTGCTAGCGTCGGTAGCTATTTGCGGTCAAGTTAAACTGATGCTCTTTTCGTCGGATTTGATCGTTATGTATACGAATAATCCCGAAAATTTTAGCTAAAGTAGACCCAAATTTAACAAGGATACAAGCCAGATTTTTCCCTGTTTAAATACAGGGAAACTGAAGCCTTCAAGCTCGCTATGGACCTTCGTTTGAGACCATTCCACTGGAAGCTTGATAGTGTTCTCATAATTTGGTTTAGTATACACCGCACAAGTGAATAGTGCTTTTCGCGAGCTGATTGGTTAGTTTGGAAGTGACGCAAGTATTATTCACCTCCGAACGCCGATGAGACAACATCTTCGCGTCAGGAATTTAATTTCTTACCATTTTTCGGTATACTGAAAGAAATAAACTAATTTTTTTGGTATCTGTTTGCTACATACTAAAACAATTATTCACCCGTGTCGGTGAAAGTGATGGATATTTACCTCGCCGCTTTGGGGCTCGGTAAATATCCACCACTATTTACTTACACCTCGGTGAATATTGTTCATTGTTTTTTGATATCATATTGTACAAAGAGGGTTGTATCTTTACGAATGAATTCGAGTGAATAATGATGAATAATGTCACATCCAGGCTGAAGAGCCGTGGTTTTAATACAATACTGCTTCTTATGCTTAACAGAGGATGCTGTAAATTTCATGCAATATCATTTAACGACAGCTGGAAAATCAGTACTGCCGAGCAGTTTACGGCTGAGTATTTGATGGCTTTTGCGCTATTTCGCTCGTTGATTGGTTCAGAAAACTCACGCTGTCACCCTATATTGGTTTTGCACCAATTGCATGGGTTTTGCACTATTTCGCTCGTTGATTGGTTCAGAAAACTCACGCTGTCACGTGTACCTCAATCAATTACGGTGGAAACTCAACTCCCGTTTTCCCGCCTTTTAGTAAGTTGCTCCGACTTTCTTAAACCTTTAAATCCTTGGGAGTGACAAACATTTCATTTCTCATTACTATATCACCCCGAACACTAAGGTTATCAGAATGAAGGAAATGATCGCGAATTCTCGATCGTTCATGAAATTCTTCTTTGTAACTACCATAGGAAACATATAGAGAACATCATTGCAATTTGATGTCGGGTTGAAAAGGGTTAAGTTCATATATGCTCCTTGAAATATAACAACTTATTTACTGGCCGTTTTCATTACTTTTCTTTGATTTTTGATCGAAATTAACTCTATCAGTCTAAGTTGTAATTACTCTTTGTAAAATCTCTCATTTTATTTATTGAGTTCTTCACCTTCATTTCCTCCATATGACATAAGCTGACATTCTAGCTTTTTTATCGCCTTTCGTCGCGACAAATGTTTTGCCAAGTTCCCTTCTCGATGTTTTGTTCAAGCAAACGATATTTGCGAAGACATCGACGACACCTTTTTTTATCCCTCTTTTCCTCCAACAGCAGATGACAGGATTAATCGAAGAATTTAAAAACGCTATAGTCTCCGTCCAGCTACAAACATTAAAAGTGTCGAAATGTCCTCCAGCGAACAGATACGCCATGATGAGCAGTACCGGGATGTTACAAGTGATGTAGATGACAAAGATGTAAGAGACATTCACTGCGAGTCTTGTTTGGCGCTGAAGATTCCTCTTTGGTGGCATATGAGTGAAGCTGTTTATTTGACGCTGATGTCGCCGGAGAATCCAGAATATTTTCATATGTGTGCCAAAGGTGGCAAAGAGACAGAGAAGTAAGAGGAAAACGTGAACCTTTCGCAAGTGCCTGCTTTGCCAGATCCATTCCAAGGAAGTTAGGGTAATGTCTAGAACCCAGAGGCTGACAACCAGCTTAAGAACGCGCTGTGTGGTGACCAGCTCCTTGTAGCGAAGATGCACGCGCAGTGCAATATAGCGTTCAATACTGATGGCGCTTAGTGTCAGAAACGACACTCCGTAACAAACCCAGAAGGTTTCAGAGTAAACGACTCTCAACAGACAGGGCACAAAATGCAAAATATTTTCCTGTAAGCGGAACACAACGTAGCATGGCTGTACCAGAAGACCGACCAAGAGGTCAGAGGACGCCAAGCTTGCCAAAAGAAGGTTGGAAGGTGAGTGAAGGCCGCTGTTGCGTGCGATCGCAAACACTACGAGGAAATTGGCGACAACGGCGAAAGGTGAACAAAGGCTATTTATAATAGCTGTAACTAGGTTTGTCATGTGACGATCCATCACTGTGTTAAAGCTTGGATCTGGCAAGACAAAGCACTGTTCTTAGGAAATGGAAGAATTTCTCTCTGCTACAAAACCTGATCCCGCCGTTCGATTCATCATTTCTCCTGCTAACGCTAGAGGCAAGTTCAGACAAGCTGTCTACTTTTCTTTAAAGAGCCTTTTCACTGACTGGTGCTATCAATTTTATCACCTTTGACGCAGTTTCCTTGGGCTTAACTCGGTTTTTAAGCTCAAACGTCACTTTTCGATTTAACTGTCATTTGTAAAAGCAAAGCTATTTGAGAAGTACGCGTTGAAATTGCGTTTACCTGTCGAAGTTGTTGACCCCGAAAAAAAGATGTAATTACAAATATAGATGTTATGAGATGGTAAGAATATTTATCTCAACGGGCAATTGCACACTGAAGCTTGAGGAGACACTAAGATGATTCACGCACAGCCAGATAAATTTACGTGTAGTATAACATTTTAAAGAGCGTTCAACTTTATCTTTACGTTTTAGTTTTTAGCTTTCTTTTAAGTTATGTTTTATGAGTCGTAGTAAATGAAAAAAGATCAACAGTAATTCTGATCCTAGCGTCTTTAGAATGTTTATCGAAGTTGCTTTATTATCATTCTTAAAGGTGTTAATAAAAATTAAGTTGTGCTTATTATAACTAAAAGATGAAGAAAATGAAAACTTTATACAGAAGTGAGAAAGATAACGGAAAATAAAAAGGATAAAGTCTCTCTAACGAGAATTAATTTTGGTTACAGAACATCAAACAAACATCGCAACGAGTCGTGCACGTGTTTTAGCTGTTCTTCATGCAGTACGTAAAAATAAAGATCACTGCAAACCATGGTCTAGTATTACTCTCGAACTACAAATTTGTCTTAACCCTTTCAGTCCAAAGATGTTCCTAGTAATTCTCTTTACTGTCTTACATACAATTCTTATGATGTTAGTTCAGAGAATTTGGAAGTGGATCAATGGATAATGAGGGGTTGATCGTCGCAGTAGCATTCAGTGGACGGTTTTTTCAATTCATGTTCTCTATCTATCCGCCCCCATTGTGTAAGTGACACCAAATGCTATAATAAGTAAAAGCCGTTTGACAACTGTCACTTAAAAGTAAACTTTTATAGCTTCCATTTGGCAGCCGTCCGATTTTCCTTATGCATTCGCAAACTCATTACCAAATTGCATAATGCTTGTTCTCCGTATTTTTGTAATCTGTGTCAGCCATGACTATTTGTTACTGATTACCATAATTTTTCACCCACCTAGGAGCTGCTGCCTAGATAAACATAAAATAATTTTTCCCATCAGGATAACAAAACAACGGGCGTTCTTTCAAAGCCTCACCGATAGCTGTAAAAAGCCTACTTAGACTGAGCCATGTGGTCCATCGGGCCTGCGCTTAACTCCGGTTTCCGTCACATGAAGCGGCTAGGACCGGGTCGGTCTGCAAATCTCATGAGAGATCTCTTTCTGAGCGAACATTTACGAGTGAATCTTTTATCTAGAAACATGCTAAATCAGAGCTATCTAATGTGAATCGAAAGAAGCATAAACGTATATCTCATCATGTATGTAGATGTGACCGTGAACCAAGCAGAATAATCCAGTGCAGGTACAAAAAGCAAAGTTTATTTTCAGAAGAAAGCCCGAGTGAACGCAAAAATGGGTCTAGTATATACCTTAATTTATCCAGCGCATTCCACATCAGTTTAAAAGTCTTTTAAAATTGGCTAAATATTCAACTTTTTTGGATCTCCTTCATCTCATTAACGCCTTTATGTGCCATTTCAAGTTCCAGTATGTTCATCCCATTGGCAATCTGATTAATCCGGAGAGGAATTATAGAATTGTCGCTTAAGTAATGCCTTGAGACAGGGTTTCATTTGCGTGCTCTCTTTCGCATGTTTGATAGAGACATTTACCAACTTCGAAATGTCAACCCAGGGATCCAGTTGCCAAACACGATTGGAGACAGCCGGTGTAGACGTTTCGTTCTGATATTTGTGCTTTGACATTCCTCATCGACATATCTAGCTATACCACATGCAAAGCAGTTTTGAAATAACATGAACTAAACACTGTCAAAGGAATATACAGTTTTCCTATAAATACAACTTGACAAATTTAAAAATAGAAGCTTAAAGTGTCCGCTGCTTAAGAAAGGTTTTGGTCACAAAGAAGCTTAATTTTAGTGACTGGATTTGTTCATGGAATTGTTCGCTGATTACAGGCCCATGTTACATTAGAAAAAGTAGACTAAAATGAAAACTGTGATGGCTTTACACATGGTATTGCTAACTCTGTCATAGATTCAACTTTATTGCACTTTAGACCTAAGCTGAAGTAATACTAAAGGCGCTACTGCGGAGAAAACGGAAGATGCCATACACAGACTGTATGAAAAAATTCCTAAAGCAACTAGAATCACTTCAAGTATAAGGGCATCTCCGTCCGCCACTCGCCTCTCCTGATAGGTGGAATTTTCTGAGTTTGAAATCCTTACTATGTTCCAGAGAGGTGTAAACAGGAAAAACGGGATTAAAGAGTATATAACCTAGAATGTATCCGATCGCAGTCAAGATGATTGCAAGAATAATTGATTCATTGGAAAATCTGTTCAGAATTGGAAAATCTGTTCAGAATCCTCTATACAGTGGAGGCCGAAAGGAAAGAATACGATAGATTTCTTTCACCGAAATGCTGGAAAGTCCTTTAAACAAATGGAGTTGCACAGAAATATCCTATTTTCTGCTTTGTTGAAATTTTTATGTAAAATTAGTACAGGAAGAAGAGATATGGGTATTCAGAAAAAGGCTTTAAACTGGGCTCATTTGAGACAAGCGGCTTGTGAGTGCGAGAATCAGTATCTTCTAGAACGTCCTTTATAGAAAAAAAATAAAAATAAAGAAAGATGTTCAACAAATAAGGACTGGACAAAGCTAGGATTTTAGATTTACTGAGTTGCAATAAAATCTGGTTAGTTTGCCCTGAAAAAGTTACGGAATTACAAATTGTTAGTTTCAAACCTAGTTAAGCCAGTGCTAATGATCGTTACATCATATAAATTAAAATTTTGGCGGTTTTGAAGAATGAAAGCTACTTCTGACCATTTGTTTCAATGACGTGCCTAATTACACGCGTGCATAAACGTCGAGTTCCATCTATACCGCCCTGTTTTCTATAACAACACGCATGCTTTAATGTGTTTGCGCTCGTTGTCCATACTACGCTGATGACAACGGAAACACAGAAACGCTTTCAATACTCTTTTGAAAACGCATCGTTTTAGGAAAGCTATGCTTGTAATGTACACGAGTAAAACGGAGGGTTTTAAAAACTGTTTGGTGAAGAACATCGCACTCTGATACTTTATGCCTTTTCTCCCTTATAAATTATATGCACAACCCAAATATGCTGCCTTGCCTGAGCTATGTTTACTGGGAAAAATTATAACCAATCAACAATTGGAGTAAATGGCTCAGGGGCAAAATCCCATAGCCACATTTATTTAAAATTACTGTTCAATCAAATCCTTGATACAAAGTTTGGCCCAGTAAAGGTGAGGGCACTGAAAACGCCAAAATACAATCTAATGATCTGAAAAAGGGGAGTGGCTGGGACAAGGGGAGGAGGAGGGATGAAAAAACACGTCTTTAACTACCGTCAAGATGAAACGGAGTGACGCTCACACGGGAGCCTGGTCACTTGGCAAGCACAAGTATCCTAAAGGGTATTGGGTATAATCCAAATAAATGCCACCCCAAGTCCCAGGCCTCCCAAAGAAATAAAGAAATAAAAAGTACACAATGGAGAAAAGCAGCATAAAAATCTATTTGCAAGCAAATATTTCATCTATTTATGCCACTATTATGGCGTTTTTTAATGAGGACCATAGACGGAAATGCATAAAAAAGTGAGGCTGTCATAAAAAAAAAAAAAAAAAAAAAAAAAAGAAATAAAAAAACAGCACATCGATGTGGGTAACTGAAAAAAGAGTTAAAACGGCATAAGGGTAAAAATAATTTAGCTGAGTTTGGCAGGAGCGAAAATGGATATTCTCGAGGACAAATTACGATTTTCTTTAAGCACCTTACCTTCTAGTTACTTGTCTTTTTAACATTTTAATCATCAATATTTCCGTTTAATGTATACTTACGTGTTGTGGTAAGTAACAAAGGATAAAAATAAATGAACGAAGGCGATTCAGCACTCCATTATTCTAATAGAATAAAATGGTGAATTTTCAACTTGGGTTTTAAGCAGCAACTTCTTTTTATTTCTGTCTTACAACTGAATGGTTCGGTAATTTCCTGCCTAACTTTATGAGGTTTTTCGACGTTTCTCCTCTCACTTTCATTTTTCTCCACCAGTCGTTACCTCCGCCCTCGACTTTGACCGTTTGCGAAGTAAATTTCAATGAGCACCCACGCTAACTTTAGAGCAACATAATAACTAGGGGCCACACAGTTAAAAACGAATTTGAGGGGCGTGTAAACCACGCAACATACATCTTCTGTTCACGTAGCTGTTTCGTTAATATATCACTTATCGAAGATGTGACTGGTCTTTTCTCGAAAGCCTGTTTTCACCTGGTAAAAGCTCCTCCAAGTTCCACTGAGACATTCGCAATCTTGAACCTCAGTAAAGTTATTTAACAAACTTAAATGGCTATCTTTTTATGAACAGGCCAAGATAGCAAAATGCTCCATTGTATATAAACAGTTACAAAGAAATGTACCTGCTTACTTAAAAGCTTTGCTGAAACTTTCTTGTGAAACTCACTCACGAGAAACCAGATATGCAAATTTTAATGTAGCTTGTGCGATCGTCAAACGTCAAAAGGAAGGAGGAAAAACTTTTACAGTGACAGCATGCAAAACGTGGAACACCCTGCCACTATCAACTCGAAAACTGGCCACCTTAAGCAGTTTTAAAACATCACTCTGGAAGAGCATTTTCAATGACCAACAGGTTTTAAATCAAATATTCTGTAATTTTCATAGCTCATTTTTATGTAGTTAAGCCATAGTTTTTAATATCTCTAATATTTATTATTGTATTTTTAGTGCTAGGAGCGCCACTGATTAATTAGTATTCTTTACTATTTTAGTGCTACCCACATTAAATAAAGCCTTTACTTACTTACTTACTTACTTACTAATCGTGATATCTTTCCTGTGACGTCACAGGTGGTACCTTCCGTTATTGGAGGTCAACGGACTAACGGATTTAAATATTCACTTTTTGTTGAATATAATCATTTTTTTCATTGATAAATATCTCACATGTCGACTGAATATCGTACAAATTTGACTCATTTCTTAAACTATGCACTTTTTATACAGCTATTTCATGATCGAAGTGGCTGGTGGTCGAGGGAAAAACCCTTTCATTGTGGAAAAGCACGTGGGCTTTTCATTACGCGTGATTTAACCTGAAGAAAAAAAATTACATCTGATAGACTCAGTTTAAATCAATTTTTTTCTTAAAAGAAGGTCCGCTTAAAACTCGAGCATGCTAGGGATTGCTTTTCATTGGTAAGAATCTGTTCGTGTGTCTGTCCCTTTGTTCGAAAGTCCATTCCATTTCATATTTTAAAAACACCCTTTGGCTAGGTTAGGATACCGTGGGTGTTTACGAACGGCGATACAAGTCGGAACTTAAAATAAAGTTCTCGAGCAAGGTGCAGTTTACTTATAGAAACTGTTTTTAAAAGATAGACCTGAATTCCGAGAATATAGAATTCGCTCTGAAGAACATACTTGCACCAAACTTGACACCAATACCTCGTAAGACGGGAAGGCAGCGGAAACGCTTAACGCGGCATAAGACCCCACAAAAAATGTCTACTCGGTTAATTAATACATCCTGCTTTTATCAAGCTTGGGTACGACTATTAGATGTGTTAATTTCCGGATATACCTGGAAAGTACCTCACTTAATGGTTTTAAAATTCTTACAGTGAACCAAGGCACACAGTGAACCTGCCACACTCGTAATTCATATCTAATTTGGTAATTTAGTTTTTCCTGAAGGATGCGACAGGGCGAAGACAGAGGAGTCATGAAAAATTACCGGATACCCAATTGACAGTGTGTCAAACAAAAGAATTTCGTTTGCCTTGTGTTTTAGCCGTGGATTTGGTTCTTTCTTGCGAGCATCTTTCTTAATTTGCGAGGGAAAATGTGATTTGAATGAGAGCGTAAATTCGCAAGGTCGTATCAAATAAATGCCGTCGTGAATTTTTAGTAAGTCAATTGAAATTTTTCACTTTGCTCTTCTAGTATAAAACGGGAAAGGCCTGAAAAAGGTTGTGGGAAAAAGTAATTGTCTTCGCAGTGTTTCTCACCGGATGCCTCACAAAATTTTCAACCCTCTCTTTAACTGAAGCAACGCAGAAATGAGACACTAGTCTTGTCCTATGGTGGTCTGTCGTTCTCGATCAAGACTGTAATTTTAATTTTGTTTTTAAAAGGTGCGTCTGTAGGCAAAGATTGAAGAAAAATTATCGTCCACATTGATCGCAAATATCAAGGTTGACGCGAATTAATGAAGCCCGCCGGCAAGATATAAAAATAACTGACTGGCACGCTATTGCAGTCCATACGAATTTCCTTTCCGTGATTAGTAGGTTCTGGATAAGCGCCAGCTGCATCATCACGTAATTGGATTATCTAATTGTTTTGTTATTTTATGTTTTCCTTGCCTGTCATGAAGTCCTTACCAATTAGACCAAATGAAAAAATCACCCGAAGTAGAAGAAACAAAATATAATCGACCGATCTCTAAATTGCAACTGATCCTACAACTTAAACCAGAGTGCGAAAGAGCATCAGTGAGATAAATTTAGCCCCCCCCAATCAGTCAGGCATCTACGCAGACAACAAATAGTTTATTCATCTCCTGGCTCGGCTCTTTAATAAGATTTGGTTTGAATAGAAGTAACAATACTTAACAACAAGTATTATATTTAAATCAGTAATCCTCATTTCTTAATATAGAAAAATATTGTGGGAAAGCTCGGCGCGATGAGAGCAATTCCTATTGCATAACCAGCTTAATTTTTTTTCTTTAACCCCATACCCCTATGAGTGACCAAGACCGAGTTTCTCCTTACATTATCAATACAATATCAAGCAGACAAGTGATGAGAATAAAGAAAAATATCAATTAGGGGATTATTGTGATCGTATACCATATTCTCCAAACTAACACCACGAGAATTGTATAGCAGACAGTAATGAGAATAAGTGATGAGATCTTGGCAGGGAAATAGTTGATATCACCCCAGTATGCCTCGGATAATTGTTTTTGACACGCCAATAAAAGTGTCTCATTTGAAGACTGCAAGTCAAGGTGTGCTGGCTCCTCGGTAGTAGTTAAACGAAGGTCCCTTTGGTAACAAGATGTACTGGGTCTGGATTTTGACAATACTTACTTTAAGTGTTCAAACCGCGCATGGATTTCGGGTCAAACTTCTGAATCATTGCGAGGAAATCTCTGTTCCCTTGTGCGTCCAAGTTTTACCGTACAATTTTACCCGCTTCCCTAATTTGGTCGGTCACCGCAGCCAAGTGTTGGCTAGACGGTCAATAGACTATTACAGCTCGACGTTTGTTGAAGACGCGAATTGCGCCAAACATACCGCGTTCTTCCTCTGCTCCTTCTACTTGCCTATATGCTTACCAGGAATCGAAGAGGACGTAATCAAACCGTGCCGATCATTGTGTGAGAAAATCAAGATGGATTGCCCCGCGATTAGAAAGCGATGGCCGAGTTTTTTGAGATGCGAAGAACTCCCCAAGTTCTCGGATGGAGTGTGTGTACAACCCTCGTCATTCGTACCCGCTCATCAGCCAGAACGTAAGTCACCAGATATTCGTCAGGCAGCAAAATCTGTAGACATCGAGCCAACAATGGTTACAGTCGCAAAATCGATTTCCTTCACTATTTGCTCAGAAATAGTTATAAGAAAGTTAAGATTTCCTGATGTAGTTTGTCTCTCTGCGAGACCCTACTTTTTCAAAAAACAAGTTAATTTTCTGTGAAGTTAAAATTTTTGTGAGCCATCTATAGTATACGTAAGTTCCAAAATTGGAATCCTAAAGTTTACAACCCTGAACTCACCTTTTCTTCTCAAACTTAAGCCTTTAGAGGACTTTGGACCCATTTTGTGGAAAACAAAACTCTTTCTCTTTCATGAGGTCTAAATTCCAATCCACTGACATTTTTTCAGACCTCAAACAATCCGTAAAAAAAAGGAAAAATATTGTTTTGGGAGAAACACTTATTCGATAGTTTACGTCAAAAACGTGAGCCGACATTGACAATAACTCCAAATATTTTCAATCCTCCTCGGTTACATGTTTAAGATTGACCTAGGACATATCTTTGCAATGGCCTAAGGTATCCGTCTTTTCTCTACTCCTAGAGAGAGAGAGAGAGAGAGAGAGAGAGGCAATAATCTCTCCAAATTTGTCAGCGAAGGCTGGATCAGAAACGTGTAAACATTATTTCGATCTTTTCACTTCATCTAAATAGCCTGTGAGACCAATTTCTAACCTAATGGCAGATAACCACGAGTCGACACTTGTAAGATAAAAATTAGAACGATTACTATCTAACGTTGTTATCAAGATTTTGTTGCATTGAGACAGAAGGAACTAGTTAAGATTTAAATCAGTCAAACGATTTTCAAAGCAGGCTATTGTATCATCATATCAATGTTACTATATCATGCACTATTAATATTTACATGCACTTCCCTTTTCATAGCCATTGCCACTTAAATCATCACTATTTTCATTAACTGTTTCACCCTTTAAACGTTGTTAGGCGATGTAAAGGATAACTCATGCGGAATGAAACTTCCTGTTGATTACAAGCATTACACCAGCAAACGTTTCGATTATGGTAAGAAGACTCTACGATTTATATATCTGCATTTATTACGTGGCCTGTTGCACAAGGGTGCGAGATAGCCTAACTTTTTTCCCTCTCGAGAAGGTTGTTATTTGACCCCGCAAGGTGGTAAGCGGTTTAAATGATTTGTAACATATACCCCATGATTTTGTTACAGGACAAGAGTTTTCAAGTAGTTTTGGCAACACCAGGGTCGCACAGACACGTCTTGACAGTCTAATGATCATGAAGAAAAGCATAACAAGTTTCGGAAAACACCCAGCGATTCATTGTTGTAATTTTTTTTTTGTCACATTTTAAATTCTTCATTGATCAACCTCAGCTATTATAGCTTGATGATAGCTTCATCTTCCCTTCCTCTCTCCCTCTTCGGCACTAGCTCTTTCTTTTCCTCCCGAGCGCTCATCGAAAGTATGGATTTTTCTCAGCGATTTCATATCGGTGTGACTCGAGATCGCGTACTGCTTGCACTCAATCCCAAACTTGTAATCGTTCTGCCCATGCCGTCACTTTTCCTGCAAATTTAAAGTTTCCCCGGGTAAGTTTCTAAAGAAACTGTAGTGCTGCGTCTGTGAAGGGTATAAAAAGATAATTTGGTTTATAAACTGAGCTAGTATTATAAATTGGTCACCGTTAATTATGAGCTAAAGCTGGTTTTTCAAGCGTTAGCTTTCTGTCAGAGCGAATGACACATGTTCTTACAATACGTCCATCTGACCTTTCAGTAATCAAGTTCAGAGTGATTCTCTTAGAGAGACTTGGAAATGAAGAAACAATAATCCACGGAAAAGTCGCCAGAGTATTCAAGCGCGGCGGTAAATCAATCCACAACGGCCGCATAAAGATCTGGAGTAACACCAAAAAACTTTGTCCCTCCATTAAAGCCAGAAGAACTTTTCTGATCTGCAGCCATGAAAGCGCGTCAAGGGAAAAACTTTTGCTTTCATCGTCGAGTGTAGTAGTAACGTGGAACGCACAGACTCTAAAACAGATCAGAAAGTGGCGAAGATATGAAAGAAGAATGAAGCTCAAGGAATAAGCTTATACATCGAAATGATGTGACAATGATACAGAAGGTACAGTTTTATAATTTTTCATTTTTTTTCCCGGTCGAGTGACTGTAGCTTTCACCAAGTAAAAGCTATCGCTGACAAGTTTTTTATCATCATTGTTTAAAATCGCTCTAAGCTGGTAAGAGATATTATTCAAGAATCGCCTTCGGGTCTCTCCTTAAAACGTCAATACATGGCTCCCAACAAGTCAAAATTTTTATCAGTTATCAATAAAAGTTGATAATAATTTCAAACAAAAATGTCATCTTGGGCCCATTTAGACCCTCTGAGACCTCCTCTGATGAAGTTTCCATTAATCTCGTTTTGAGTTTCAACAATTTTGAGTCGCTTACGAAGTGATTAAATCGCATTGTAAGGATTATTCGGTGAACCTTACATGAATTCAATGGGCCATTTCCGAGCTACCCGACTTGGCCTCCTTTTCAAAACGAGGCCTGGTACTCAACCACTCGTATCTAGATGAGTTAAACTGACATACGAATGAAAACTTATATGAAAGGATCAGCGCCAGGACTCACTTTAAAAAAGAGGCCAAAGGTAATTCGGAAATGGACAATTGCCCTCATCCCTAATTTCGTTTCTTTCTTGTTTTGCAGCACGGTGCGTTAAACCTCAGAAAGCTGTGGAATTTCTAGAGAAATCTGAACTAATTCAAAATCAAAACACGTTCTAATATGATAATGATATTATTTAATTTTATTATCCAGCTATACTCCGTAGAGTACAAATATAACCATAGACGAGTACAAATATCACGCGGTATTTGTACTCCAGAGAACCGGTTAGACAGGTTTTCTCGCACGCGTAAGCGAAGAATTGAATTGAAGTTACGAAAGAAAAAAAAAAAAGGCGGACCATTTGAACCATATTTCTGATGACGAAGAGTCGGAATGGCAGCCAAATATAGATCCAAGTTTTTTAGATGAGTCGAACGAAGAAAAACAGCGAGAAAACCAGGGCATCTCTTCATTTATTGAAGAAAATAGAAACAGCAACACGACAACGCGCCAATTCCGTTCCGCTTCGCATACTTCTGTCACGCACTCCTCATAAATAAATATCCGCGAAATTCGCCCGCACTGAAATAACAATTTGACGCGTTGGATAATAAATAACTTATTACACGCTTTTTGTGTAGTATCGCTGAGTATTTTGACTCATCAAAATACAGCACAACTCGTAAAAATACTCAGCGATACTACACAACAAAACGTCTAATTAGATATATATATTCCCATGGCTTGCTCGGGTCATGTTAAATGAAGAGTAATAAATGGATCTAATGTGCAGGCCCGTTAAAAAAGCACAGTTTTGAACAAGACAGCGTTGTTGCAATCTGATGAAAGAATCGAATATGTAACAAAGCGGTATTTTGACACGAAGTAAACTCCACTTGTTTGGTCAATTTGAACATGAGAGAACGAGGCTGTTTTGTATGGAGTGCCATTACCGCCAATATTCAGCCACTGTTTTTTTATAAAATGGTGCTTAAGATATGAAGCCAATCATGTTTTATGCAGCTAATCATTTTATAAAATGGTGCCTTAAAAAAATATGGAGCACTTCAGTTTTATGAAGCCAATTATGTTTTATGCAGCTAATCGTTTTATAAAACAGCGCTGGTCCGATAAACCAAACAGGCAATCCAACTAGCTTACGCAAATCGTATAATTTATTCCAGTATATTATTATTCGATCTAGAGAAAAGAAATTAAATACATTTGAGAAACTGAACAGAATCTATCGATACATAAACACACGAGTCAAACTATTTGCTAGAATTGCAGCACTGATAACTTACTTCTGTGGCGATGTCTAGTAGGATTATTTCACGGTATACAGGTCAGCAACAGATATAACAGATCAGTGTATAACAGAATACGGATCAGCGCGACAGGTCAGCAAAACATGAAGGTCACTTCGAATCTAAACATCTGAACTGAAAGCAGACTTATTCACGTGGCTTAACTGCGAAACTTAGTGTCAATCAAAGTCAATCAGGAAATCAAGTTAATAATTCATTGTATTAACGAAACAGGCGCCTTAAAAATTTATGGAGCGCTTTTAATGAAGCCAATTATGTTTTATGCTGCTAATCACTTTATAAAATGATTAGCTGCATAAAAAAGGCCTCTTAAAAAGCGCTCCATATTTCTTAAGGCACCATTTTATAAAATGATTAGCTGCATAAAACATGATTGGCTTCATATCTTAAGCACGATTTTATAAAAAAAACAGTAGCTATGGCTGAGTATTGGCGGTAATGGCACCCCATACTTTTGATATTTAACAGAAGATGCAAAAATCAAAAGAAATGAAAAAGTAGACCTAAGACTTAATGATGAACAGACTCGATTTGTTGATGAAATTTTGAACAAGAGAGCCCAAAGCACTTTTGTAAGACGATAGAAGAATCATACTAGAGCAATTTTTTGATTGCATCGAAATTAATCCGGGGTTGCTTTGGTTTTTCGTTATGTGATTGGTTGAGAAAACTCGCACCACTTTCTCAAACAGTCAGATTCAAAATTAAAACCAACTGCGATTTGTTCATTCGCATTTTCCCGCGCTCCAGGCATTTTGTTTGTCTTTATTTCAAGTTCTCGTTGACTCCTGGCGATATTTCTCTTGCTATGACTGGCTATTATAATTGCCTCGTTTTGCAATTGGTTTCACGAAACTCGATTGAAAAATTCTCTATGAGATAAAATCACGAAGTACGAATCAGAACGTATCCATATTTCTTTCTTGGTGGACTTCTAGCTATCTTACATTACACAAAAAGTTATAACAGATTATTTCATTGAACTCTTCAATTGCCAAATTCAATATTGACAAGATTTATTTCTGATTCATTTAAAGTATATAACACAGTGAATTTTACTTATCATTATCTTTTGCATTTAAATTCAAGATGGTTCGTGTACAGAATGTAGAGAATTCAACACCAAAGCAGAGAAATGGTTTGAAAGTTAAACCCAATAAGTTATTTGTTCATTCTATTGAGCAGGATGTAGCCCGTTAATCGACAGTTTCCATTTATTACCTAGAAGAGAAAGAAAAATTCTGATTAAAACCTTGCTGGAATTCAGAATCCCAGCCGCAACTGAAAAATTAAAAATAAAAAGGAGCTTGTACAGCTTCCTTTTTTCAGGTTTTTTTGTGGAAGCGTTAAACAGACAATCATTTAATTTTTTTAGTAAGATTATAGTCCTTGGACGAAAATATCTCGTAAAAATTAGTAAAGTTAAGTTTACTTTGAAATAAGTGATTTCTATAAAATATTTTTTATAAACGCGTATTTAGATATTGCGACAATGATCATAACGAAGTCCAAATGTAAGAACCGATAAGAATACAACGTTTTAGTATTTTTTGTTTGATAACATTTTCTACAACTGACAATGTAACTTTACGCAGTAAAATGAAAGTTTCACCAAAGACCATACCCTTGAAATATTTGTAATCTTATACTGCAAGGGGAGGAGGGGGGATGTTTGTGATCATATACTTTAGGGGGAGGGGGTGGGATTGGGAGGTGAGATTGAAGCAATGGCATTACTTACACATATCTACCGAGTTAACATACGGATTTCTTCAATTGCCGCAAACGACACTTTAGTGAAGATAAAGTGAAGTAGAGTGGAGTGACTCAGTTCTTATTACAGGAAAGGCCCTGGAAATGTCCGGTAAAGGGAGATCTTTAGAAAAAAAAAAAAAGGCCTAACCGCGATCTTTAGAAAAATCAGTTACGACTTGCCATTAAGTGTTTTTTGTTCACTGTAACATTCCGTTTGTTTGTTTTGTTTGTTGCAAAAACACTTTCGGTTTGACTCGTCTTCATGCGCACGCATGGTATAATGGCTCATAACTCATGATGGCTAAGCGAATGAAAATTCTTGAATTGCATTATCCAGTGATCCAGTTTGTAAATAGCATGATTTATGCCGAACTTATCGCCGAATAAAGATTATTCAACAACAGTTATTCCACTCCCGCTTGTTGGATATAAAATGATTATAGCCATCGTCCGGCATATCCAAACGCGCGCGAGTGGAATGAATATATCTTATTAGACGTTTTGTTGTGTAGTATCGCTGAGTATTTTTACGAGTTGTGCTGTATTTTGACGAGCCCGTAGGGCGAGTCAAAATACAAATAACGAGTAAAAATACTCAGCGATACTACACAACAAAACGTCTAATAAGTTATTTATTGTCCAACACGCCAAATTGTTGTTTCAGTGCAGGCGAATTTCGCGGATATTTATTTATGGGGAGTGCGCGACAGAAGTATGCGGGGCGGAAGGGAGTTGGCGCGTTGTCGTGTTGCTGTTTCTATTTTCTTCAATAAATGAAGAAATTTCCTGGTCGTCTAGCTGTTTTTCTTCGTTCGATTCATCTAATAAACTTGTATCTATATTTTCCAGCCATTCTGACTCTTTGTTGTCGGAAATATTTTTTTTCGTAACTACAATCCAATTCTTCGTTTGCTCGACGCGAGAAAACCTGTTTAACCGGTACTTTAGAGTACAAATACCGCGTGATATTTGTACTCGTCTATGGCTTTATTTGTACTCTGCAGAGTGTAGTTGGGTAATAATTGTTGTTATTAAAAACTGGATCATTATGGTATATGAGCCAATATACCATAATCTACAAATATGGCAAGCGTACGCGTCAGCTTGAAATTAAAAGGGGGGCTAAAAAATTTAAGATTTGGTAACATTTGTCTAATATCTTGGGGGCGTTTTTAATAAAACAATTATTCCACTCGCACTTGTTAGATATGAGATGATTAGAGCCAACTCGGGCTACGCGCCTCGTTGGCTATCTATCATCTCATATCCAACGCGCGCTCGTGGAATAATTGTTAAATGTGTAGAATTTACTACTTACTAACAGAAGCCACAGGAAAATCTGCATTTTTCCATCATTGCAAACGGTTTTATATCACACGCATCCTCTAGTGCGATCTCGTAGAAACAGTAGTATTGATCAGAACTATCTTCACAAGGAAGAGACTTTAGACTTTCTGTAAAAAAAGTTAGAAATTGTTTAGTATAGAAAAACAAGGAAAAACAACAGAAAGGTCAGTCCGGAAAGGTCATAACAATAAGGACCTTAATTAAGCAAACCACGGCGACGACGGCAACGAGGACGTGGCTAAACAAAAGATTTAAGGAACAGGACAAAAGCTCAGCACGTACGTTTTAAAAGTTTGCACATTTCTTGGCCGTCCTCTGCGATACAACAACGTGAAATCATCAAAATTTGCGTGGTTTGAGGGCAGAAAAACACCGACAGTAAATCAGTCAAGTTTCCTTTTGAAACTGAACGCTACTCTCATACGGTATTCTGCTGAAGTTGACGCGTAGCGCCGCAAGAGAAGGTAAACACATCCAGCTATTCGCGAATTCTAACTAAGCAAATAAATTCATTTCGTAATTGAAGTTTCACCTGCGTGACTGCTACAGGTACTTATAGTGAAAAGCGAGAACAAGAACGAGAACGAGAGCGAGAAGAAGAACGAACTTGAGAAGTAAATAACAACGACCAAAGCATTGGCAAGGATTCCCTTCGTAGCAAGTTATTACCTGACGAATGAGTGTTTAATTTTATAACGATCCAGTGTTGAAGTCGCCATATTGGATGGGTAAGATTAAGGGAAACTAGGTGGGAGTAAGAAATATGTTTTACGCCGGCAGGGGGGGGGGGGGTGGATGAATATAAAGAATTACCGTGGGGAAGGGAGTGGGACATGAATATGAGAGTAGAACAACCATAGCAGGAGCACACACACAAAAAAGGGTCGACGATGCGAAACAGCAGGAGTAATAAAGAAAAACCGGATCATTGCAAGTATCTACTGAAGAAACTTTGTAACCCCTCCCCTAACTGAACCAACATTAACCCTACACATGACTTGTTAAACAGCAGTAATATTAGTTAACTGTTATCGGGTTAGGGGAGGGGTAAATGCGTAGTTGCTCAGGGGAGGGGTAGGTGCGTAGTTGCTCAGATACTTACATAGACTGATTCGATTACATGAGAAACATGGAAAAAAACAACAAAAAATCTTAATAATGATAATATTGCGACTAGAAAATAATTGAACGAACACCAGAAAAATAGAGGATATGATAAGACGAAACAGAAAAGTATTTCGTAATTGAATTCATGTAAAAATCAGGAGAGTAGGTTAAATGGTGTTCCCTGTATTAAACTTGTTAAATGACCTTGAGCTTCTGGTGATCAGTCTTAAAGTATTTTTAATAAGTTTGTTATCGTTTACAGCTTTCTACAATATGTGAGCATTGCCTGAAGCCTTAAAATACATCAACCAATGTGAACAATTTTAATATAACCACAATGCGTCCTAAAAGGCACGAGAACATCAGTAACACGCTAAAGGATGTGTCTTTCGCTATCCATCGTGTGTTTTGTTCGTTACTCCACGTTTCCTTCAAATTGCCGATGAACATTTAAACTCATTCTATAAGATTTCCTCTTGAAGCAGTTAATTTTACATGATTTGAAAACCGAACAAGGAAGATTGGGCTAAAGTTTTCCAAAATCAGTATATTTGGGGCGCACGTGCTAACTTGCCCGAAAGAAATTTTATACTTACCTCTATCTGCTAACGATGTCGGTAAACCAATCGATAATTCTGTACAAGTTGTCAGGAATACGACCAGTAGTGCTAGAAGGAATGCGTTGGATGTCTTCATGTTACTACCTTTGATCATACCCATCGTGAAAATTGCTTTTATGATGAATGTTATCTGATGGGCTTCTAAACAGAACCTTTTATCTGTAATACGGGGCAAGGATTTCCTATAACTAAAGAGTAAAAAGATATAAAAGTTATTAGAAATTCAGTTTCCGTTTGCGTGCAGTGGAAGATAAAACGAAGGTTATTTGTAGAACGAAGGTGAAAGAGTTCATACAGGAGAAAAAAATTGATTGAAGACAAGTTAATTTCTCCTGTCCTAAGTTTGTCTTGTAAAAGTTGTATACGCTCAATTCGCCTTTCGATCAAGAGGGTTTAGGGATCCATTGACGGCGTGACTCTTTCTTAAGCGGAAATTTAAACGCATGTTATCTTTCAAAGTTATTCCGGAGGAAATTGGTTTGCTTTATTACAATTCAAAGAGCGGCTACTCCTTTGAAAAATTTAATCAATCTATAACAAACTCAACTATATCTAATGTAAAAGTAATTCTCGTTCCAGCGTTACTGACTCGGTGATAAACTTTTCCTGAGGATATAATGTAGAACTCGATGTTTTGACACCCATTTAATTTTTTCTTGACTTTGTGATCATAACCTATTTGATATCATTGGTGCGTACTCAGGAAAGCGGCGAAGAACAAAACGAAAAATTTAATAGAATTATGTAAAGCAAACATTCTGTTTGATTTTTAATTAAACAAAATTAGACCGACTTCCTTTTGGTAATGACATTCTTCTTGGGAGGGAGCTCCCACTAATTTGAAGACTAGATAAATTCGTCGATTCTTGAGATTTTTCGCTGGGGGAAGAGGGTTCTATGCTCATTTTATTTCTCATCGCATTTTTTTTAGATATATTAGCACTTGTATTTTTATTACTTATTACGTTTTCTCATACAGAAACAGATCATCGTTAACTTGAACTCGATCTATAACACGCACTTCCTCGGCACAAATAACAACCTGAAAGCCATTTCCGTTGAAGAACATTTACGAGTCTTTTCTTATCAGCTTGCTAGAGCAAACTGCTATTTTGAGCTTTTTGTTGCTTTTTGTTAAATTTCAAGAGGACGATACCCTCCCAGCCTGAGAACATCGGTCAATAATCTCGGCTAATTTAGCAAAATTAAAACAGCTTTGTCGTTAAAATGTGACTCGCGTTGAAGTAGAACTGGCAACTGAGTCGAGACGATGCCCAAGCTTGATTCATTTTACAGACCTTACTTAGCTCACGTTCTAGACGCATATTGAATTATGGTTACCATAATCCTTCAGCTCCCAGAAATGCCAAGCCAATCTAAAATTCATTATCTAGCAAAGTGGTTATAGGAAAAGAAAACTTAGTAGCGACGTGTTTTCTTGATATCACACCGCCGTATTTCCCGTACTGTCTCTTAAGAAACTTTTTGAGTCCATTCGTCCGACACGCAAAATTTTCTTGTTTTTGAAGTAATCCAAATATTAACAAAAATTGATGGTTTTAGCTTACTCGTTATTTTAGCCAAGACGGCTTTGAAACGTAGTCTTACCACAGATGGCATCACCAAATCTTCTATTTTCAATGGATGATATCCTTAATTAGTAAGTGTTGGAGGGCATCGGTCTCTTTTCTGGCTCCTAAACAGCTGCAGTTTAACTGGACAAAACAAAGTTGGAAAAAAAATTGTTTTCTTTGTTTTTGTCTACCATTGTGCCCAGTTTAACAAATGATTGCAATATTTTTCCATATCAATTAGAGCCAGCTTCCGCACTCTGATAGATTATTCTAACCAACCAATTACAGAGCGGGAAATATTCATTATGCAACTATTACACCTACTCTTCAACACTTCAGGTTTAGAATTTCTCACTGGACCGAAAACCTGTATCTAGGTTACCAAACATAATTCAATCAATCTATGGCATGTTAGTGTAATCGTGTAGATGGTTATGGTCATATAAGCCTCCTGATTGGTTGATTATGAAGTCAAATATTTTTATAATTACGCTTGCCTTAAGTGATCATAAAACTGGAGGACTAACACTCAGAATATCTCCATTCAAAGAAAGAAATACGTTAATAGATCCTGAAATTGGAAGACTAACACTCAAATTGTCTTGATTCACAGAAAGAAATGCACGCAAGGTATTGAGTTGTTACAAAAGTGTTGGAGGCATGTATCTCTTCAGGAAAATATATACAAAGGAGAAATTTTTTCGAGGAATATATTCTAGCTTGTGGCCGTATGTCTACAAAAATTTACTGGTCCTAGGCTGGTAACCAAGGTTATCAATACCACTGTCGACGACAAAGTTTCTTCAGGCGATAAGATATCTTTTTAGTAGCGTTGGCAGGCCTTGAAAATTAGGTTCGTTAGCTTTGATGACCAAATCATGATTGTTTCAACCACATTTGACTTTGATTAAGAAACCCTCGCGCTGCCAGATTGAGTTTGAGGGCAGCCATTGTATGTCAAAGTTTTCCGATTGCCGCTAGAAACACCTTGATATCAAATACTTTTAAAAAATTTCAACTGAAAAAGGTCAATAAGAAACGCATGAATCTTAGTCATCATGCCAGCCAAACCTAAACTAAAAATATCTCAAAACAGGTAAAAACATTGACACCAAAGCTGAAAACTTGCGTCTGTTTAGAAATTTGCCCTGGAGTGGCCAGTTCAACAGATTTATATGAGTGGAGATGTTCCAAATGCGACAAAATCCTGTTAATACCCGAGAGTTCTCGCATTTAACAGACAAGTTTGAAACAAAAGCAACATGTAAAGCTGTGTTGTTTGGAGATAACCTGTACGATCTCTTAATTATCTTTTAGGTTTGTCTAACGATCAGAAGTAAACATTCTTAATATTCTTGGTGAAAACAAGAAAAAAAAGCTAAAAGACTAAACTCATGGATATTGTTTTAGGTAAATTCATCAATACATCTTACCCTTAGTGTGTAAAAATCTTTAGCATTGAAAAACTCCCAAATACATATGGTCAACTGTTGTAATATGGAAAGCGACAGTGCTACTTAAAGAGTATTCAGTTTGTAAAGAATCACCCGAACCAATCACAAAAAGCTTAGTTATCAACAGATGCTGAGGTTGACTTACTCGAACATTAATTACCGAAGCAATTAAATGTGGAAATAATCAGACAAAACAAGTTAAGCGACATGTTAACTTTTACTCGAATATGTTGGTTCGTGTGGGAAGAAAACTAAAAGAGTAAACCCAAGTGGTTAAGTTCCTGTCAAAATTTGGTCAAAATGCGTCAGTCGAAATGCTTTTTATAGAATGCGACATTTTAACCCTTAATTAAAGATTACTTTGCCACAGTTCTGGAGGATAATTAAAAGTGTGTTTATTCACTCTTACTCATCACGCACAGCATGAAAATCAAAGAAAAATTCCTGATTACCTCGGCAGATCATTTGACACAAAATCCTGGATTCATCTTAGACGTCAACAGTACTGATGAAGCACTCAATCACATGGCTTAAAACTTTAGTGCTTACAGCTCGATAATACAGTCATAGGCAGTATTATTAAGTTGCTAGACAATCTAATTTGTTTTCCTGATTATCTTTATCAGCGATTTCGACCGTAAAATTTTAGTGGAACAAAAACGGTGGTCGTCTTTCCCAAGGTGATTATAAGGTGAGAATTTAGCTCAAACTTTCACAACTGCATGAATCAGGTCAAATTAACAAACGATACCTCATTCAATGGTACAATTTGCTTTGAGTTGAGTGTTATTGGTGTCAAATAGTGGAACAACGAATTTTACCTCATACGTTTTTGTTAAGAATGTGAAATAAGTAACACCTAAAATTTAGCAATGAGAAAATGCAGGTGAAGTTTCTAAAGCCCTCAATTATTTTTTGCAATTCAAAAATTACTCAACGGCCTAGCTTTTCATTGTTTTATCTTACAAGATTGATGCACGACTGTCTTCACCACGCAAAATATAGATAAAAGCTAATGTCCCGAGAGCCTTGCAGTCCAAAGTTAGAGGAGCAAATTCTACTAGAAAGCCCAGCGGGAAAATTTGGCGATGTCAACGATTCATACAAATTTATACTCAAAAGCTTTCCGTAGTTAGCAAGGAAGACGCACGCTGTCTCAATGGCTTTTTTGAGGCGAAATAGGAGAAATATGGTACTTCGTTTTTTCCAAATTGTAGTATCGTGACAATTTTCAAAATTTTAATCTTTTTAACACAACTGAGTCTGTTCAAAGGCAAAGTTATTATCGATTATATTGAGTCAGTAATCACTTTTAAGTCCTGATACATATTTTACATTAAAAAATCAAACTCCAATTTTACTTTAAGGTGCCTAATGGAATTGCAAAAGTCGAGTAGTTTCCTTTGAATAAATTGCGATCACGGCATCTTTCTAAATTTGAATAGGTCGCACGTGGATCTCATCTGTTTCCTAATTGGTCATATGGGCTGACTTGTCTGCGGTTACTACGTTAATTTAGCATTTTAACCCATATCGACATGAACTTTGGATCGGTTTCTTCTTTATTGAAGGATGCTATCGCGCGCGATAAAACATTATCACGTACACTCCTCCAGTTCAGATCGCCGAATGATAAGAAAATTTGCCGCAATCAAATTTTAATTCAATCATTTGTGTTACCATAAAATGTACAGATTTTTGACCCACAAGCATAGTCGGACGATATCAAAAACCACAGTTTGCGTGAATAACTATAGAATTAATGGTATAAGTACATGTAAAGCTTTGCCCCCCGCCACTAACAGGAGTTACCAAAATGAAATTTCTTTGCGCATTGTGACGACATTTTTAAGCAGAAAGGTGATAAGAGGTAAGAAAATTAAAACCTGTGGAATATTGTTTGTTCAACACAACATTCGCAAGGCTAAAAGTGTAAGATATGTATTATGTATGGCTGAAAAAATGTTTGAGGAGGATGGAAAAACACTGGCGAGAAAACTAAAATAAGGAACAAGTAAAGATAAGTAGAATTGAGATGTTGAACGAAGATTGCAAACGGAAATCATGACAGTTTGACAATTAGTAGGAGCACTTTTCGATTCAGTGTCGTTCAACCAAACCCAAAGTAATCACAGAGGACAATCAGAAGAAAACAAAATGTCTCTAAGAGCCAAAGAGAACAAGAAGTAAAATCAAACAAACAAACCGCGGGAAAATGCGTGCGACCAGGTCGTGATTGGTTTTAATTTTGCATCTGATTGGTTTGGAGAGAGTGGGGCGAGTTTTCTAAACCAATCACAGAGTGAGGCAAGGTAAAACCAAAGACCTCCCGAATTATTTTCGACACTCCATTAAGAATTGTTTTATAATGTTATCGCTCTGCCATTTTAAAAGGGTTTTACTTTAACAGAAATCTCTACCAATCATGTCTTACATCAGCGGCACTTCAAACGGCAAGAATAAATCGTTTGCAGTTGCCTTTTTTCAATAAGACATTGAAAAGTGCGGCATTTGTTGTGAATAGAAGAAATCTATGTATTTTCTGTTGGACTCATATAAAGATTAGAAGAAGGCTAACGACTGGCAGAGCAGTATCACGAGAGAATTTGACTCCCTCGTTCGCGGAAAACGTGGTACCGGTATTATTCTTATTACTTTATTTTTGTAGTCGGGAACCGGCAAGACACAACATTAATTTATTTGCAAGACATACGTCCACCATCTTGGATTTGAATTAAGTTTTCCAAAAGAGATATTAAATGCCTTTTGAACAATTCACAAACGCAACTTCGCTTAACCCGTGGGTATTCTCAAACGCTACTATTCGTATTTGTGTAGCTATCCTAGACTTTTTCGTCATCAAGGTAGGCGTGCATATAAAATTAAACTGCTAAAACAGTTCATTTCTTTACGGCCACCATTGACCTGTAAATCTATTGCCAAAGAAGCATATGATAGGCTTACAGCTTAATTTATTGACCTCTCAGTTTACTTAATTGAGAACAGCATCAATTCCTACCCAGTTTTCTTTAATTCTCGCTATTGTAGGTTCCTCGAGAGAAACTGTTGATTTCTAATTTATTTTTCTCTCCATGTTTAGTTAGAATGAGGCTTAGCTGCTTTTATTGGTTAATTACATCGTTTACTCTTGACACCGCCAAAATCTCAGACGCAAATTAAACGCCACGTTTTCATTGCTCATATATTGATTTCTCCCTATGAACACAAGAATTGACAATGTATGCTTCCATTATAAAATTCCTTTCAGGAGAAAATATTAAAGAAATAGGAAATCTTGTTTACATAAGTTGCTCATCATATATTGGTTTTTGTGGTTCAAAATCACGAAAAACAAAAATAGAACGAAAATAAAACATCTGCATAAATAAGGTTTCCACATTATAAATAGGACCTTCTCGGGAGAAGGCAAATTTTTTTTTAGTTTGTTGCCTTCATATGACGTTGTTGTTAGCTTCTGTCCCATTTTTTGTTTTGAAAAGTACTTTTTCTTGCTTATTTTTCCATATTCTCACCATGTATTTTTGTCGGGAACTTTCCCCTATCTTTCCCTCTCTCCATAAAAATCAAATCAGATTTAAACAAATATGATGAAATCCATTGGGTAGGGGTAAGACATATTAACTTTGAATAAGCCTTAATCCATTGGAATCTCAACCTTAAAATCCTCGCAATGCAAATTTTCTTCAGCCTCGCTTTCGGGTTGTCTTTCGAAAGCCTCGCTTTCGGGTTGTCTTCAGTTAGACTAAACTTGATTGCACGTGTAAATTTTTCGACTTATTTACATTTTATGGTTCCTCGTGGTCTGAACTGTTTCACTTCTCGGAAATTTAACATCTAAATGGAGCCAAAAGCAATAAGGAGTTCGCTTTGCGCGTGATCGCAGACGTCACATGAACTGACAGCCCAATACAACAAAACACACCGTCGATAAGAATGAAAATTATTTCAACTTAATGTGTGAAATGATCGATGGTAGACTTCCAAGCTAGTTCTTCATAAAAAAAAAAACAACACCACCTCCAAATATCCTATCACTATTTCAAAGGTGATTGAATCAGTTGATTGTATCAGTCCTGTTAAGCTGAGAATAGGTTTAGTGAGGACATGGCGAAGCATGGATTGAAATAAATTCTTGGCGAATTAACCTTGAAATTTCTATAGCTGTAATGCAGAAAACATCAAGGCCTATTTGTATAAAGGATAAAGGCTGATAGTTTCTAAAGAAACTGTTTGGGGCTGCGTCGGTGGGGGTAACGAAATAATTTGGATATATCAACAAAGTTGAAATGGTAAATTGGCCACCGTAACGATTACAAAAGCTGACGTTTCGAGCGAAAGCTATTTCTTATGTCGCAAGAATATTTTAACTTTCTGATACGATTGCCATTTTCTCTAACTTTTTCAGAACAAATTTCTAGCTTATTTTCTAATTATTCGATAGAAATTAGACTTATTACATTATTCTTCAGTTAACTGCGACAACTTGTTTCTGACTTAGTCTTTTGATAAGAGTTTTTCATCTAACAATTTCAGTCATTCTTAGCGCCTTTCAGACTTAGCTATAAATTCTTAGTTGAATTTTACTTAATTCTGTTATGAGACTTTAAGCTTATGTAATCCATGCTTATCAACTGCTGTAAACACCTTTACTTATTAATGAAGAATTGTATTGAATAAAGATAACTTACAAACAGATAATAGTGTTTTATTTCCTCTTTATTGTCTTTCATTGATTGCATAAATGATAAAAAATTAATTGCGCTTTTAAAATGGCCTGGTAACAAGTCAAAATGTAGGCTCTTTTACTTTTTTTTGTGTATGGAGGGCTGCCGAGAGATAAAAAAATTCTGAAATTTTGAACAGCGTCTGGTGCAAAACAAAAAAAAAATACATGACTTTTTAATGGGAGAAAATCAATTGCTTGAAGCAAGATTTTTCCCGCCAAAAGACAGTATATTTTTTGATCAACATCAAACACCACTCAAAGGCCAGACTTTTTTTTTCAGGACTTTTGAAAG